TGAAGGCACTATATTGAACAAAAAGTTACAATAATGGTCATGTGAATATTTGTATAGACAAATCTTAAACAAATCTATGAGATCAATCTTAAGGACTTTAACAAACATTACTTTTATTATCCATTTCCTTCGACTGAGTGTCCCCAGGTTTAGGAGTAAGGTTTATATTGCAGTTTAACGATTATGCAAATAATATTGTTAAAATTTGTGACAAAGAGAAATTGCCTACCTAGGACAAAAGTTTATAATTGATAATAGCTAATATTGACTTAACGTAAAATATCCTTGATAAAATGTTATTGATACTTAATAAAACTACTAAAATAAGTTGTAGCTTGATACAATAATAAAACTACTAAAATAAGTTGTAGCTTGATACAATAAGTAACGTATTGGGTACACAGTTATAATTTCATGAATATGAGAATACAATCTTAATAGTATTCCGTTTAAATCATCAGCATTATTAATGGCTTATCAGTTTTCATTCATTTGTGATTCAACCAAGCTCTATGGTGTTGTTATTCAGGTCCTGAGTATATAAAAACAATTATGTCAACTTGTAGAATTTTTGAAATTTCAACTATCTCATTTCGAAACCAGTTAAACCTATTAATTAACTAGTTCTTGAATTTTTAACATAGACATTAGCATACCAAGTAAAGTATTTATATCAGATGACATATGGACATTCTGGGCCTCAGTGACGGTTATCATGTTCCAGAATATTACATAACTCAATGAACCTCATAATTCCTTTAGACCTAATGTAAAATAACCTAACATACCATCTTAACATGCCAGTTTTAAATTTCACAGAATCTGTCAGATAATGGTGTTGAATTTTTTCATATTTTTCAAGTCGCAAAAGGGGATGGGGGCTGTTATAGCTGACTATTTGTATGGATTTTTCTCATTGTTGAAGGCCGTACTGTTGCCTATAATTGCTTACATCCACTTTATTTGAACTTTGGTGGATAGTTGTCTCATTGGCAATCACACCTCATCTCCTTATTTTTATATAAGGTAAGCCTAATTTGTTCAGCTGAAATATCCAGATTGAATGTTGCTTGCTTTTATAACATTCAGTGGCAAATATTTCATGCATCTACAGGACAAAACAAATCTGTACTCTATTATAGGTTCCTCTTAGTTGATGGAATAAACTAGATTTTTGTGAATGACTTAAATTTTGATACAGATGATACTCAAAGTGTGGTTACAGAATGGACAGAACAAGGGTTTCAATAGTATAGAATACAAAGGAATAGGATTTACTTAAAGTAATGACAGTACAACAGACAGTAACAACCACCAACATCTGACTTCTATGATTGATTAACCACCAACATCTGACTTCTATGATTGATTAACCACCAACATCTGACTTCTATGATTGATTAATCACCAACATCTGACTTTTATGATTGATTAACCACCAACATCTGACTTCTATGATTGATTAACCACCAACATCTGACTTCTATGATTGATTAACCACCAACATCTGACTTCTATGATTGATTAACCACCAACATCTGACTTCTATGACTGATTAACCACTAACATCTGACTTCTATGATTGATTAACCACCAACATCTGACTTCTATGATTGATTAACCACCAACATCTGACTTCTATGATTGATTAATCACCAACATCTGACTTTTATGATTGATTAACCACCAACATCTGACTTCTATGATTGATTAACCACCAACATCTGACTTCTATGATTGATTAACCACCAACATCTGACTTCTATGATTGATTAATCACCAACATCTGACTTTTATGATTGATTAACCACCAACATCTGACTTCTATGATTGATTAACCACCAACATCTGACTTCTATGATTGATTAACCACCAACATCTGACTTCTATGATTGATTAACCACCAACATCTGACTTCTATGACTGATTAACCACTAACATCTGACTTCTATGATTGATTAACCACCAACATCTGACTTCTATGATTGATTAACCACCAACATCTGACTTCTATGACTGATTAATCACCAACTTCTGACTTCTATGATTCATTAACCACCAACATCTGACTTCTATGATTGATTAATCACCAACATCTGACTTCTATGATTGATTAACCACCAACATCTGACTTCTATGATTGATTAACCACCAACATCTGACTTCTATGACTGATTAATCACCAACTTCTGACTTCTATGATTCATTTACCACCAACATCTGACTTCTATGATTGATTAATCACCAACTTCTGACTTCTATGATTCATTAACCACCAACATCTGACTTCTATGATTGATTATTGTTGCTTGCCTAATGTCTGACTCTCTGGTAAAAAATAGGTATACAAACAACCGACAAAAAACAACCGACAAAACATTATTCAGTTACTAAGCTGTCCTGTCTGACATCCATCTATAGCATACAGACCACGCAATATAAAAATAAGATGTGGTATATGATTTTCGATGAGACAAATTTCCACCAAAGACCAAATGACATAGAAATTAGCAACTGTAGTGCATCATAGGGCTTCAACAATGAGAAAAACCCATACTGCATAGCATAGTGATGATCCTACTTTGTGTACTGCTGTATCACACCAACAGGCAGTATTTACAAGTATCTTGGTTACCCCTGCTATATTGCATTATACTGTAGATTATTATTTCGTAGGATACTGATTTTCATGTATTTTGTGGTTATATATATATATATAGGTGAATGTTCGACAAAGCACAATATTTTTAATAGGCTTGTATGCTGCGACTCTGGCAAAATCACAAAATCAAATATCCGCAAAAAAACAATTTTTCCTCAATCCATAAAAATTTATACCCAAGAAAATGAATGAATCCACAGAAGTTAATAATGATAATAATTAAATAAACAACTTCAGAAAGTCAGGTCCCATCTGACAGTATAAACAAATCCTGCATACCTGTATACAGTACCATGACATTGGAGTGTATTGATGTGTTGATAACTGTTCAATAAATATAACTATACACCATGAAATATATCTGATCTGAAATAGATTAAATAATTTAATAACTTTGTCAACATACAATATATATCCAAAAGTTGATCTACATGTTGAATGTTTGTCAGCAGCTTAAAAAGGGGTGGGAATATAAATTTTTTTTAGAGATGAGTGAAATGTTAGGAAAACAATATTATAATAAAGACCTGTTGGTCATAAAAGGTGAACAAATCGGGATCTGTGTTGACCAAGAACATTAATGTAAAAATTTGAAATTGATTTGGGCATTAAACCACAGTATAAAGGAATGATTATTTCTTTGTGAATAGATTTTATTATTGTTCATTTACTATAGTTAACCTTAGAGCCCTCAGAAATATTAAAGGGACAAAAAATCATCAGCAGATATAATTCTTTGCATGGTTCTTTACCAGGTTCATCTGACCCTTGAAAATTGTTCAGGGATACTATCATTAGAAACATCTAAAAGAGGAACGGCTTTTGTCAACATAGATTTTTATAATAATTTGTTAACTAATTACTTATATCTCACCTGAAGGTTTAAAACTGGCATTTTATTTTCGGTGGTCTGAGACAAATCTCCCTGTGGCTTAATTTTTCGTTGACAAACATATATTTCGACTTTGAAAGATATTTGTTTATTACAGCTGTCAAAATATTATATGTATATGCAGTTTAAAGGGATTATAAAGAAACTTTTGAGTAATATTGTTTTACCCTTTAGCCTGTTTTGAAGATTTATATATCTGTTTTATTTACTCGTCAGTAAAAAGATCAAAAGCATATCGCACATTGTGTAGATTCAAGTGAGAAAATTTTGGATAAAATATTCAGCAATTATATAATTTGCATTGGATTAAAGGATTTAATTTGAACCAGTTTTAACTAATGAATTACCAACTGATAAATATATTGAAATTGTATTATATGAAGAAGATTATAATTCATGTGTAATTCCTTATTAAATGGAACCTAATCTAACTTTGAATAAATTGAAAGGCTTGAAGTTGTTTTAGAATGAAAAGACGGATTTTAATTATGTAGGATTTTCACCAAAAGAACTGATTTAATATTTGGAATTTATATTGAATTGGAGATGTGCATTGGATCTTTTAAAAACATTGAAAAAAATGAGCGAACTAACTAAAGTTTAGAGAAGAAATTTTGATGGAATGAAGCATTATGCAAATCTTTTTTCAATTCAAATGTTACAACATTTGGAACATTTAATGGTTAACTAACATATGGAAAACTCCAGATAAGGGACTTTGACAGGAATAAACCATGACAGGTATCAAGCGACCTATTCCTATAAGTGGGATGGATTTACTCCCCAATATGTATACACCGGGGATGTATACTAATAAAAAGGATAATATTCCATTCTCAGTTGTACTGCAACAGGTAAGACGGGATTGTACCACTCAAAATAAATCAAATAATGCAAGGATGAAATACATGATTTTCCAATTGGTGCGTTTTTCCTGGAAATTTTGACGCTACAAAGTAAATATTCTCTTATGACGTGTTTTCCCCTAAATGACCCCAGGTAACAGGGGCAGTTCATTCATAAAATAGAAATTGGTATCTGGTGTATTGTATGGCTTTACTATCATTCCCAATTAGCTGAACGTGTATTAAGCACCAATCATCAATCATTGCCTATTAGGCTGCTTTGGAATTGCAATAATCATCTGAGCCTGTATTGTACAGAGCTTTCAATCTGAAGCTAAGAATCTATAAAATTTGAATAGTCACCTGGATTTCTTGTTGACTTTTGTTAGTACATATTCCAGCACAAGCATGGCAATAAAGTATATCTTGTTCAATGTGCATGTAGATGTTGTCTCAGTTTAGTTTTTTTTGCTAAAACATGAGATCCAATCTAACTTATAATTTCTTTATACAAAAGAGTTGACATGTGGCCTTTACAGATCAATAAAAGATTAAGTATATTCTCCTGATGCTCTATAATTAGTGAATGTTCTTTTTTCAGAATCGTAAACTTTCGGAAGATAAAGACAGACATCTTCAAAAGAGGGTATCAGAACTACAGACACAAGTACAACGACTGGAGAGAAAGATATCATTACTCAACAATGAAAATGAATCAATAGTAAGTTAGATGGTACAGGAATGAACAAAAGGGAATTTTGAAATGTTTTATCCTGGAGTTACTAATTGTGTAGATCGTCCTGAACATGTATGAAATATTTGCCACTGAACATTAAGAAAACATCAATCAATTAATCAATCTGATTATGAAGATGTGTTTGGATTCTTAAAAAAGGTCCAAAATGAAAGATGGCCACTCATTCAGTCATAAATTTTCTAAAAGGAATTTATACGTTCATTAAAATAAAATTGACGAACATAAAAATATCTGTGTAAAGTAAGATTTATATTGTAATATATCTGCCATATCTGTTCACAGTTTTGAAGTTTTATTTATTTGTATAGTAGGAGATTTCTTCAATATTTGTCAAGTGATCGTGTTGAAGGTCCTGGTCGTCCCCTCACATAAATCTGGATAAGTTATAAGTAAATACTGACCTTTCAATTTGATTGAGATATATTTCACCAATCAATACAAAAATTTAAATTACGGTATAAATATATCGGATTTCATCTTTTGTCATTCGAATGAATGTTTTGGACACTGAGTAATGGTGTGGTATTTTGTCAGGTACACAGTTATATATTGATACAGATTTACATAATTACAATGGATAAATTCCAATAACTCAAGGTCATTGCCAAGATTGTAATTCTATGTTGTTTTAGGTTAGGTTAATAGTTTGGTTTTTTTTTTTATAAGTATGATTATGCATTCAGTACCAATTTTTCTTCTTTTTTTTTTTGTTACCTTAAAACCATGAAGTGTGAATTCCAAACAGAAGTTTTCTTCAATTGTCTTGCACTACTGTCGGATGTTTAGGGGAGGGTAAGGTACCTGCTAACATGTTTAGGGGAGGGTAAGGTACCTGCTAACATGTTTACTCTAGCCACATTCTGTATGTGCCTAATCTTAGTCATGTAGTGGTTGTCGTTTGTTGCTGTATATCATATTTGTTTTTCTTTTATTGCTTGTAAATAAATTAGACCTGAGTAGTTTTCTTGTTTTCTTGTTTGAATTGTTTTACATTGGTCATTTCGTAGCCTTTATGGTTTGCTGTGCGGTATGGGTTTTGTTCATTGTTGATGGCCCTATGGAGACCTAAAGTTGCTAAAATTCTACATCATTTTGTCTCTGGTGGAGAGTTGTCCTATTGGCAATAATACTACATCTCCTTATTTTCATATACTTAAAGATTTATCAGTTCATTTGAACTGACTAGACTTCTAGGCCTCAAATTCTATGACATACAAAAACATTAGAGACTTGGTAACATCAGTGTGCCCAACGTTACTAACTTAGCCCAATTTGGTTGCTACTCTTTGTTTCAAATAGGTCAAATTTTATTTATAAATCTTAAACCATATTTATATCGGTCATAATGAGTATTTTTTCAATCTTAAGGTCACAGGATATCTGTATGAGGATAAGATTCAAATACCTGACTTGACCGAAAAACATATACCTGTGCAAAAAAATTAAATGCCTGTTTAAAGCCATTATAAGATAATATCATCGAATATTAAATTTTGAATTGTCACAAATTAATAAGTCATTGTGTATAAGTCATGTTTGTCATAATAGATATCAACTTTAATATTTCTTCAAATAATTTGTGTTTATTACTGTGGGATATACCAAAGTCACACATAGTAACATGGATAAAAATAAATGGGGGTATAACTGCAAAAGTGCATGTCCTAACCAGGAAACACCTTAAATGGTTATCTTGGTATATATCTTAGTATCCCTCCTTTTCTAACTTTCCTATGCTACATCTAAAGCAATTTTATTCACTATCAGTTATATTTCTAAAGTTTCTAAACATGTTTTGTGAAAAAGATTGAAAATTTTGTTATTTATATATATATATGGTGTACAAATTTTTGCACCTCATGTTTGCAGTATACCATCTTTTCCGCTTGTTTTCTGTTTGGTATTGAATTAATAATAAAGATCCATTTTGTTACATCTTGTGACCCGTTATTTGGCAATCGCCAATGGCAGTCAGCAGGGTTTAAGAACATCCATTGTTCGACCTGTTAGTCAAATGCGTTTTGTTTAAATATACTTTTTCACTTTTTTGGTCTTTTGGAAAATGTTGTTTGTGCTGTATTTAGACCCCTCTACCAAGAAATTTGTTTTGCATGCACATGTATAAAAATTGCGGTTTTTATCCAACCCAGTCATAGGTTTGAACGTTGTTTTCAATTTAGACTTATATATATATATATATCTAATATTTATTTCATACATTTATATATTCCTATGGTTTTTTTTTTTGGTTTTTTTTTTTACGAAAACAAATATGTCTATTGGAGAATTTCCTGATATATAAATACCTAACATGCTTAAGTAGCCCAGGTCGCATACTTACATCTGTGTATTTAATTTATATTTGAAAAATCATTTGATATCTTTTTCCTGCCAATTAATTCATTTTTTTTAGACTAAAGATATTGTTGTTAGAGCAGTTTTAGAAATATTAACAGTTTCTTGGATTCTAGTTATTTTCTCCTGTGTACAGTTTTTAGAAGTTCAGAAATTGCCAACAGATATAAATGCCTAAAATATTTACCAGTCCTTTTGAACTGGCTAAACTCCTAGACTGTTAAAAAATATGAGACCACAGACGAGTTCTCGTTACTGGTAGTTTATTGTATGACTTATTTTTTTTTTACAAAGAAATCGGAAAATATCCCCAAACCACAATAATTGTACTCTATTGTGTTACATTGTAGTAAGATTGATAATCCAGTACATCTGACATAAAATACCTTTTGTTTTAAAGGCAGACAAACTATATAACATTCATGACATTAGTCAGAGTTTTTATACTTGTGTATCTCTGACCTCACACTCCCACACAGGTAAACATACCTGTACTTACCTGTACATTTTTTCTAAAAAAGTAACTGTCTGTGCTGTTATTTTAGTAGATGAGTTCCACCACTATAATACCAAACTTCAGCAAACTTTTTGATAAGGGAGAGAAATTATCTTATATATAAAAATACAAAAACAAATAGGAACCCACCAAAAAAAGGAAAAGGAACATATTTCATCATTACTTCAAATGCCTGCATTATTTAATAAAAATGAATTTAATATAAATTGATATTTCTTCATTCTCATTTCAGAAAAAGCGTCAGGATGAAAAAAAACCATTAGAAGAAAAAATAAAAACACTGAAGAAAAGAAATGCTGAACTTGCAGCAATTGCGCGTCGCTTGGAAGAAAAGGCCAAACATTTACAACAGGAAAATATTAAGGTAGATCACCTATTGCTTTATTAAGAGCAACAAATTAGACGTCAATAAAGATTGGTCTAAGTTTAAGATATCTCACAGACCAACCCAAACACGTCGGACCGCAGGTCATGACCTGTAAAAAACTTGAAGGTCCGCCACCATCCTGTGAACTACAGGACCTCCTGTCCTGTACATTTTTTGCAGCATGCAATATTAAAATTGGGAAAAATGTGCTGCTATATCAAACAAAAAATATTGTTTTCCTCCCGAGATCAATGAAAAACAATTGTCCTTATATTAATTAGGATCGTGGAAATACCCTAGTCATATTTATAGAGATATATGGGCAACACAAATAGTAACCCGATCAGAATGCAATAATATAAAAAGCAGCCAATGAAATCACGCTTCCATTGACACGCGGTGAGATTTTCTTGTCAACTATTTTATGCATTCCCTGAAAATCAGCATTTCTAATGTGACTTCTTTTTTTTTTAAACATATTATAAGATGATTTTAAGGCTCACTGGCTTTTCCCCTACTGCTAAAACCCTTTCAATTTGAATATTTTGAAGATTTTGTATCTCGATTGTCATGTCCGCTGCGTCAGTTTTCGGCATTTCTTTTTTCCCTGGTTCATTACGCATGCCCCGGAATCACATGTTGTAAACAATAACATGAGTTTCCTCCGTTTTTATGATGGTGCTGTACCTGGTCAAAAACAGAAGGCCGATGATGAAAGTACAGGATGAATCCATGAACTCAAATAAAATACTAGATTATGCCAAAGAGGAATAAATTTAGATAAAGTCTTAAAAAATGAAGTTTTATTCAATGTGATTAAACATGCAAAAGTGTAGTACAAGATAGTAGTTTTGGTTACTTCATTTATCATAGTCAAAGCACTCAGAATGCAGGATTTTGCATCTAATTTTTCAAAAATTTTATGGGGGGGGCATGACCCCAGACCCCCCTAGCAAGTTCGCAAGGCTTTGCGCTGCTCACTGGTGATAATAAGTAGGTCCTGTAACAGCAATGAAGGTTCAGTAAAAAATATTTGTTACTGGACCTCCTGACCTGTTAAAACAATTTAAGTTTGGCTGGGTCTGATCTCAATCAAATTTATTTACTAAAAACAATAGGGTAGATCTCATTTATATGTTGACAGTAAACTGGAACTGTTTCCAAAGTTTGCCAAATAGAGCTAAAGCGTACCATGATGTGTGAGTATTTATAATATCCATGTCTTGTGGATATAGATGAACCATGAATAAGATGTGCAGCAGTAAATTTACTATGGACTTGTATGAAAATAAATGACAAAATCCAGTACTTTTTAAGAAAATTGATACACATACAATTTAATGAATCCTGGAAATTTTCACAATATGAAAAGCTTTGGTTATTGAAATAGATACTGGGATAAGAAGTAATAATTGTGGGACATGTCCATAATAAAACCATTTCTTCTATGTTATTGTTTTTATTGACCAACTAAATTTGTTAGGAATGCTTTAAAGTTAAGAATATCTAAAAACTCCTTTAAACAATCTTCATGTAGAAAATGCTTTACTAATTCCCACTAATGAAAGCTGTAATTGAATTGATATAGCTTTCTGAAATTCGTCTAGTTTCACAAGGGTCATAAATGGGAGTATGTACATGGGCAAACAAGAAATAAAATGGTCATTCCATGATGAACAAAAATAAAAACTTATAGTAGTGTTCATGTTGCTGTTTAAACAAAATTTGCACCGTATAGTGAGTAATGAGCTTCAACAAAAACAAAAAAAATGTGAAATAAAAGATGCATAATTTGCACGAAAATAACCCTTTACCACCATCTTTTACCTGAAGGATATATGTTTTATCCACATAAAGGAGTACTTGAGATTAATGCCAAAACAAATTGACATAGTATTTAGTCCAGTTCAGTAAATATTTCCTATTAATGATACTTTATCATTGTGTAATTGGTTCACCTCTGTCCATTCATTGATAAATGAAAATTTAATGCATGTTGACCAGAGCAAAAATTTTCTACCTTGTCATTGCCCAGCAGCAGACGACAGTTGGACAAATAAACATAGCTGGGAGTCTGATCAGATAAAATATTTGTACAGTGAACTATGTGTCATTCTTGTGTCATATCCTTGTATACATGTGGATCAAAATTTAATATTTAAGGAATATATTCTCTTATGATTCGAAAATTTTAAGAAGTAATTAATGAATTAGTGAGGAAATTTAATTATGCTAATATGGTGTTTATTAAACGGATTAGGGAAAGACTTTGAACTTTTAATCTGAATGATATGCAATATGATTGTGTTAAAACTTTGTAATTTTCAGTTGAAGAGGACATGAATTTAATTTTCTTCTGGTTTTCCATTCGAGCTTTTCATTTTCTATTCAGAATTTTATTGACTTCACCAAAAGTTTGAATTTCAGAGTCATGATGTTTGTTCACATGGATTTTAACCGGAATACATTTTGTGTTTTATTGTGAAGATGATGGATTAGGTGTCTTTTAAGTGAACTGTTAAGCAATGTGTTTTTGGATTATGTTCAGAAAACAAATATAAAAGTTCCATGCATTTGTATAAAATGTCTTTTTGTTGGGAGGAACTTTTTGACAAAGATTTTGTAATGGTAGGTTAATTGAACACAGGATTTTTTACTTAATTCTTAAGCTAAAGTATTTTATATCGAATTTTTACTCATTGTATAAAAAAGAAATACCTTTAGGCAGTAAAGATTCAGGCTTATGATATATTTTTTGTTGTAGTATTTTAGTTTTCTAATAAAGTAAATATTTACTACCACTCTCCTTCTGCAGTATGTAACACCCAATCTCTTGTAGAGTTTTAACAATTCATTCATCTTCTACTGGAGACTATTTTTATCCTGTATTGAAAATTTTTGTCAAGCGAATTTTAATTTGGAGTGCCTTTGTCAGTTGTTAAATGAAATACAGGTTTAAAAAAATGTCATTGGTTAGACTATCATGTGAGATTTTCATGTCTTATTACCTCAAAATGTCAAACTAATTTTTCTCTTTTTCATATTTTATTCAGAAAGTCAAAGAAGATGGTCATGGCCATCCAGAAACGGACCATTTGAAGAAAATGTTTGCCCGCCAACGTGCCAAAGACCTTTCGGAGCATGCTAAAGCCATGCTAGCCAAAGACAGGGAGATTGAGGACCTACGCAAAAAATGTCAGGAATTGGCCGATCAACTAAGCAATGCTGAATTTCTTGGTCCTGAGGTTTGTCTGGAGACATTTCAATGTTGTATTTTAGCGAGGAAATGTTTAAAAAATATGCAAATGAAACACTCTTGACTACTAATATGAAAGATATGGTTTGTTGCCAATGAGACAATTATCTACTAAAGACCAAATGATGTGGATGGAAGCAACTTTAAGACTTTAAGACACCTTACCCATTTTGGACTGAGGAGCATGTTCACATTAGACAGGTTTTTGGTGGTTTTCACTGCTTATATTATTGATCAGTTCAGTTTAGGCAGGTGTCCTCTTTATGCATGGTTTGCTTAAACAAATTTCATTGAATTTATTGAAGTTCTTTTTCTGATGGATGTCAAATTTTTGTGGACCAAAATAGAATTTTAATTTCCTAGTTTCAAGATTAAGACAAATCTGAGAAAAATATTTGTAATATGAAGTTAAAATAATTTTTTCTATTTATAAATTCATAGTGATGGGGAATTGAGGTAGCACAAAAAAAGTATTCAAATATTACACTAAATTTATATCAGTAGTTATTTAAGCTTAAATTTCAGAACTTTGGATCTATTTTCAGAATGTACAGATGTATGAAGAGAAAGAAGAATTAATTAGTATTATCAAACAGGCAGCAAAAGAGAGATTAACCATGGAGAAACAGATTGCTAAAATCAAACCAGTAAGTTCTTAATAAGTACCGAATATCAGGTTGTCTGCATATTGATATTGTAAAATATCAGCTGCAAGTCACAATATGAAGCATTTTGTCGAGTGAGCGCAGCGAACGAGTTCAAAAAGGTTTCATATTGTGTTGAACAGCTGATATTTTACAATATAAATATGCAGACAACAAGATAATTGATTTATCGGGTTGTATTTGTGTATTTTGCACGATATAAACAAGTGTTTTCTTTGTTTCACCAGCAAACCGGAAGATGACTTGATAAGTTCTGGTCAAACTTATCAACATCGGTTCACACATTATGATGTCGCTGATATGTCCAGGTCAAAGTTATTAAGGCTGGGTCAATGTATTTGACGTCACAAATCCATGATCTGCAATGTTATTAAGACTTGAGCAGAGTGAAAGTGGGACGACAGATAATGGATAAAACTTCGCTGCTCTGATATAGAATAACAAGGTTTTTAAAAGACTGTTATTAATAAATAACAGAATTAAAAGGGCAGAAAAAAAAAGTGAAAGGGATGTGTCCGTATTATTAAGATATAAGCCATTGAAAACTAGGATTGAAATTATTTTTCATATTTTTAACATTGTAACCTTTTTTCTTTCAATAACTTTGAAGAGATAACAAGTATTTAATAAGATTAAAACAAAAATTGCTTTTAAAACTATATATAATAAAATTATGTTTTATAAAAACACTTCAATATAGATATTTCGTGAAAAGATTAATAAACATTTCTTTACCTTTATAACGATTGAACCATACTAGATATTAGATAAAAGTTAAAAACTGCTTAAGTATTACCACAGCTCAGATGACCAAAAACTCTATATTGCCCTTATTTTGCTCTATGTGTTTTTTTTTTCTGACATTTCTGGAGATTTTATAATTCAAGCAATAAGAGCACTGGTTAAAATAACTATATTAAAGAGTTGATCGTGAATCTATAATAGATGGTTTTTCAGAAGATTTTTTAAAAGATTTGGTAGAATAAGCTTGGTTCAATGTCCAGGTTTATTGATTGCAGATAATTAGAATTACTGTAATGCTTTATAATAAGTTAACATTTCAGGAGAGGAGGGAATAAAAAAGGAAATGAAAAGAAAAGAATCGTTAAGATAACATGCAATATTTTCGTACTCCATGTATACCTTTTACAACAAAATTATTTTTATTTACCTGTGTACATTATTTTATTTGGCGGCATTTTGTCCAAGGTTATTTCTGATATTGTTTTACATCTCGCCCCCCCCCCTCCCCCCCCCCTCCCCCCCACTTTTTTTTTTTTTTTTATTAATTTTGTATTTACATTGTGTCATAGATCAATTTTATTCGTTCAGTGTATGTTCACTTGTTTTTGTTAATATGTCTTTTGATTGAGTTCAGCCATTTCAATTGATATTTTGTAGTGTGTCTTTCTATGTTGTGATATTACACCATTGTTTCAGGTTAGGGTGAAGGTTGGCGCCTATTAAAACGTTTAAACCCGCTGCATTTTTTTGCACCTGTCCTAAGTCAGAAACCTGATGTTCAGTGGTTGTCGTTTGTTGATGTGGTTCATAAGTGTTTCTTGTTTCTCGTTTTTTATATAGATTAGACCGTTGGTTTTCCTGTTTGAATGGTTTTACACTACTCATTTTTGGGGCCCTTTATAGCTTGCTGTTTGGTGTGAGCCAAGGCTCTGTGTTGAAGGCCGTACTATGACCCTTTAATGGTTAACTTTTACAAATTGTGACTTGGATGGAGAGTTGTCTCATTGGCACTCATACCACATCTTCTTATATCTATTTGTAAAGAATTGTTGGCACAATTACTTTTTTTCTAATCTAAACAAAATATTAGCAAACAGTCCTGAATAAATGGGAGGTTTTTAGGAACTGTTTGACTACTTCAAGAGTTAGATGATTTGTTTCCTAATGTAAGGGAGATAACTCTGTCTGCCTTGATAACTTTGATTCTGATCAAAAATATTTATTGACTTTAATCAAGGGAAGTAACTCTGATGATCTTAATTTTAGTAAAGAAATTGTCAAGATCAATTTAGTGAAATGATATGGCAGTAGATTGATTTGACAACATTTTAGTTGAAATGATGAAATTTAGAATAGAATGAGGCTTATTAACTAGTAATTCCCATATGGATAATGAACTAATTTGTACTAGATTACAGAAACTCTCATGTTGACTTAATTAATAAATGCTTTTGGCACTTGTAACTATTGACAAGTTAATACCATTGTGAAATATATTTCCAGTTCATAACAAAGATCATTTTCAAAGAAGTATAAAATGTTTTTTCCTTTACACATAGTTAAACCTTGATCATTACTAAAAAAATTAAAACACCTCAATTAAAATCAGATTCTTGGTAGCACATACAAGATTTAACAAAATACCAATATTGGAGAAAAATCAAAGGTCTCACTTACTTTCACAATTCCCATGATGCCTTGATAACGTCTGCTTTAACAATTTGTAAGTTTTATTACGGCTACCACCTACTACCAATTCCTGATTCTTTTATTGGAGACAAACAATTAGAAATACTAATGGGAAGTGGGGGTGGAGGGGGAACACAGTTTCATTTATTAATAACATGAAATCAACAGAAATGAGGGATAGAATTGTCATGTTTGTTACACATTTGATTGAAAAAGGTAGGGTTTGGAGAGTGTAATGTGTTTAACCATGAAATAAACATAAGTTATTGATTTGTTTGGGTTGGGTATTAAATATGGAAATATGATATGTATTTCATCAAAATTTAAAATCAAGTAGATTGATTGATTTATTGATAAAAGTTGGTCATTGCTCTTTTATAATTTATTGATCAATAAATAACAAAATAAATGTAGTCAAGTGAATACAAGAACAAAATCCAAAAATAGATGGTATTCACTCCATCCTAATGTGATCTGGACGTATAATTTTTTTCATAATTCTTTACAAACATTCAACGATGAATTCAATGATAAGTAGAACAGGCAGGACATTTCAGCGTATGCACTCTTAATTTAGGTACCAGCATAATTTTATTTTTGGCTTTTAGTTTTACAACCAGTTTTAAAAATGACAAAACTACAGTTTAACAATGCTTTAGATAATGATACCATGTATGGTTTATTTAAAACACTTCTCTTGTGGAAAAAAACATTGCTCTATTTTTGAAATTGCATTAGTTCTAACATTGTAAAACATTGGAGGATTCAGGAACAAAAATTAATCAGGGTAATAGGCTATAGGGGATTTAACAAATGTAATCATCGTAGAATTGTTTTGTCTGTTTAAGTCACGCAATTGATTGCTTTCTAACTTTAGGAGACAAATGATCAAATTGGTTTTGTAGTCATGCTAAAGTACAATTTGTCAGACATCTGCAAAAAATTTAATAGGTTTTTTACTATATCTGTTTTAATTGGATGATGTAAAGACGAAAGGAGATGTTGGTGAAAGTCAATGAGACAGCAACCCAAAGAAAAAAATAACCAAAAAATAGCTCGAAGTCAATATATTTGAGTGAGCATGGTCCAGTTTTCCATCTTATATATTTACAGCTACGGAAAATGTTTTCTTTAGTTCAAAAAGAAATTTAATAAAACTTTAGATCACATTAAACTGTTAAGAAAACTTGAAAAAATTAGTCTGAAATTTTAAAGTTAGAAAGTATTCAAATATAACACTATCAATATTCCTTAATTTGGAAAATATGTACACGCAGGTCTTTTTTTTAACATGGTATATTGACTTCTAGTAGGTTTTTTGTGTTGCATGTTACTGGCCCATTAATGTTTATCCCACATCTCCTTTCATTCATATAAGATTTAAATTATGTATCTTAGACATGACTTAAGTAACCACCTTACTGCATTGTTTTATAGCACTTTGAGGATTAATATGTATAAAACAACAAGATTGATGTAAATAATCTATCTGACGATAACCAGTTACCGCCAGTATTTGTTAAATCTGTAAAATGAGATTGTAATTGAACGTCCAGTATTACCTATAATTGGTTTGTATATAGACCTGCCTAATTAGACGCTGAATACAGTCATTTTTAACCTCGGCAGATGGTTCATTGACTTTTTTTCTGATATTGATTAGTACTTTTAGTCAATACTGTGTGTTATTAAGGATTTTATAACGTAATTACATTAATTATCGTGAGTCTATCATTTGTTTCACACCAAAAAGAAGGTCAGTACATTTTTTTGGAATAGCATTCATTTTATTTTTCGTATTTATTATCATTGATGATATCTACAGTTGAGATTATGAATTTTAGTTCACCTGAGGATAGTGCTGTGTAAAGCTTTGATCAATTGGATTTGTCAGATTGCCTGATAGTAATTAGCTTTTACTTTCTCATTAGTGATCGACATTGTTGTTTTATCGAGATTTTGATCTGAAAGTACAAAAAAAAATCTACATTAAAGAAAACACATATTTTATTTATGTGGAAATAATGCAACTGATTCAGTATCGCAATAATAAGAACTCACATTCTGATATCTGATACAAATTTTATGTATGCATTATTTCCTGAAATCCCAATAACCAATCTCCCATTTTTGTTCATTCTTCAAAAAACGCTATAATAAATGCACAAAATAATTTCTGAATTTACAGTATTTATTTTTGAAGATTAGTTTAAATTTAACTTTAAAGATATTTTTTTTTAAATTTGTTATTACATCTCCAGTGACTCCATTTGCACAGAAATGTTAACAGTTATACTAAAATGTTTGGTTAGGATTGCCAGTTGCTTTGCTTTTTGTCAAGTGGCCAATATTTCATCCTTAGGACCAAAATAAATTGAATCAATAAGTCTAAGTATGAAGTGCGAAAAAAGGGTCAAAATAATGAAATTATTGTAAAGTCTTCACGGTGTCACTTCCCAAATTGTATTTTTTTTTTTATACTTACATCAATAAAGCAAATATTTCTTGAAAGTGGTGGTGAGAAGGTTTTGACCACCAAAACATGCAAA